AGTTTGGTCCTTTACAGAAAAAGTTTGCCAACTTCTGGCTTAGAAGTCAATAGTAGAGATCAATGGAATGCTAAAAAGAGCCCATCTAGTCCAAAAGAAGGCAATGAAAGAAGAAAGGAACTAAGAAGAGGTGGGACAAATAGTAGGATGGTAGAGTTCAACTCAGCCATATCACTAATTACGTTAAATGTGAATGGTCTAAATACTGCAGTGAAGAGCACAAATTGTCAAAACTGGTCGGAAAAAAGACCCAGCTGCGTACTGTCTGCAAAATATCCATTTTAAATATTAGTGACAGAGAGGTACCATCCAAACTAATCATCAGACTTTTTAAAGCAAAAATTATAACAACATACTGCGGGGTTTATGATGTATGTAGAAAAGGCAAAAATCATCTAAAAATAACAGAAACCAATCAGTAGTTGCCAGAGGTCAGGGTGGAGTTGACTGTAAAGGGGCACAGGGAACCTTTTGGGGTGATATAAATGTTTCATATCTTGATTGTGGTGTGGGTATATGGATGTATATGTCAAAGTCACTAAACTATATATTCAAAATGACTGCAATAAAATTGATTTTTTAAATGAATAAAATTGATTTTAAAAAGTAAAGTTAAACAATAGATGAAATTTCTCTTCAGATATTCTGAACTTGCCAGCAGTTTAATCAGAGGGAAAAACAGCCCATTATGTTGGTCTTTTCTAAGTGCTGACCTGAAGACCTGACTGTTTTAGATTGGTTTCTGAATCAGCAGATCTGAGGTAAAACCAAAAAAAGGTTTTTGTTTTTAAATGCACAGCCAGGCTTGGGAGCTATTTAGTTATATAACTCTCATTGTTTTTATTGTAGGAAGCAAATCCCATTTAGATTGTACATAAGCAATGTTATTATCCTGAAATCTCATGTGCACTATTTTTGGTCAAAATATATACCAGCAGTTCCTTGGTCTACACTCTCCTGAAGGGCAGAGGTGGGTCTTACTCATGCTTCTCTCCACAGACCTACTATCTTATCTGGCACATGCTAAGGCATCAGTGAATGTTTGTTGAGTGAGTATTTTTGAATGCCCATAGATCCTCTCAGAATGAAAAATATCATTCACAAATGTATTCATTAATAGTGAAATGTATTTATTCTGAAGTATATGCCATTGAGTGGGAAAAGATGGAGCTCCTTCTCAGGCCAAATTCATGCTTCTCCAGGTGCACATGTTTGCCCATCTATTTAGTGGAAATATTCATTCACCAACATTTGTTCAACAGATATCATTTCTAGTCCATACCAGGCACTATTCTAGATATAGGAGTGAACACAACAGATCACATCTCTGCATTCATGGAGCTTTCCTTTGAAACGGGAGGACTGAGAGGGACATGTATACATGTACAAATATAGGGTGTCAATGGTGCCAAGTGTTACAAGGAGCACTGAAACAGGGAAGAGGGAAAGGGAATATTGGAGGTGGGAAGATATTGCTGTTCATAGTGGGTGGTTGAGGTAGGCTTCTCTTAAACGGGTAACATTTGAGCAGAAACCTAAAAACAAGTAAAGGAGCAGGCCATGCATGTATACATGGGTGCAGAGTATTCCAGTTATATGGAACCACAAAGCAGGGAGCATGCCTGGCAAGAAGGCCAGTGAGATGAAACAGAGTGGGCAGGGAGAGGAGTAGGAAGGATAAGAGTACAGAGGTAGTAGGGGGGCAGTTCGGAGAAGGCCTTAGAAACCTTCATGAGGGCTGCATTTTGCATTGAGTTGGGAGGCCCTTGGAGGTTTTAGGCAGAGAAATGACAATGGTTTGATTTAGGTTTTAAAGAGGGCACTTTAGCTGCTGTGTTCAAGACAGACTCTAGTAGAGCAAGTGTAAACATAGGGAGACCAGCTCAGTGGGCTTGTCGGTGAATGAGTACATACAGTCTGGCAGATATGCCCCCTCATAAACATTGAATTGGTTTTATCATTCTACTTACTGGACTTTTGAAATTATTTTCTTTTAACTAGTATTTTACCCAAATACAGCCTAAATTTATTGCAGTAGCACAGAAATTATTTTCTGAACATAACAAAATATAACACTTTACATTGCTTGGTTGATTGCCAATGGATAATAATAATATATTTATAGAGTGTTTGACAGTTTAAAAGCTATTTTACATTCATTATCTCATCTAATCCCCACAATTTTTAAAGATTGATACAGTGACTTTTATTATCTCCCTACAGAGGTGAAAACTAAAATGTTACATGCCTAGTCCAAAGTCATATGCCAAATTTGTGGCAGGGCCCAAAAGACTAAAATCCAAGTCTTCTGTCTTCTAGCCTGAATCCATTGATTTTGTTTAAAGGGGTCTTTTATGTTCAAATGATGTTGCTGGGTTTGGAACACTTATATTAGCAAATTTAGTATATTGTTTAGAAAGCCATCTACCAGTGAGCAAAGATAATACGCTCCAACAGGATACATACAAAAATGTATAAGGCATATTCCTACCCTGTGAACTTATTACTTGGTGATACCTGTAACAGTAAATGTGGTAATTACTAGTAAAAAAATGTCGCATGCTCAGTTCCAAATGGTACAGACAGTAAATGCTTTAGCAGTTCAAAGGAAGCAGCGATTTTGATGGCCTGAGTAGGTATGGCAACAGGGAGATGGGGTGCTTGAGTTGAAGGATGAGCAGGATTCAGTCAAAAAATATCAAGGAAGGGTTTTTAAACCCAGGTGGTTTGGGGTCAGGGACACAGCATGAACAAAGGCTTAGTAATGGGGTGTTTTGGATTTGTTTATTTTGAGACAATGACTAAAACAGTCTAGTCAGAATACAAAGGTTGTTTTGAGGATGGCTGTATGTCTACTGCTTTCACACACAAAGTATTCCTGAAAGCTAGGCTGAAAGGTGAATGTGCAAAGTCATGCAGTAGGATTACATGTAAGTAAAAAAAGATGTTGGGGAGCTGAAAATGCCATAAAGTTCTTATTTACACCTTGCCTTTTAGAATATAATCTAGAAATTTTGTTGTTTTATTCTTTCTCTGTTGATCCACTTAAGTCAAATATGTGTCTCATTAAAGCTAAGAATTTGTTCTTTTTACCATACCTTGTGATTTCCATGTAGCTCCTTCCAGGAGCTCAGAATATTTGTTCTTTATCTATCTCCATCTGATGTATGGCTTAAGAATGGTTTAAGGGTATCAGTATATAAAAGAGAAGATTGTCCAAAAGAAAAATATTCAGAGTTGAGGGCTTATAATGAGAATTAGGTTTGGAAAATAAGACCAGGCTTTGTAGAGCCTAACGTTTCTGTCAGTTCGGCACACATTTATTGAGTGTCTACTGTGGCTGTCTATGATGTATATTTTTTGTGCAAACTATTGAGGCATATTTGAAAGCACAACCCTATTCTTAAGAAGTTCACACTGGGGTTGGCGGGGGAGGTCAGGGAATATTTTACTTCCTCCTCAAGGAGAGAAGTGATAGAGTGAAAGTATATTTAATATGATGGTGGTATAAGGTTTATATTGAAATTGGGGAAAACTGGAGGCAGAGAGACCAGTTGGTTGAAAAAGCTTACACCTGCCTGGGCATACTGACCTGTATTCAAAGAGAAAGCCCCCCTAAAGGAAGTATATAGTGTGTCTTACCTGAAAGGGCATGCTACAGAGACGTGGTCTACAGCTAACCCCTGATCACAACAGTGTCATCAACAAAATAATACTGTGTGTTCGTGGTTTCCATTAACTTATTCTCATCTATTAACAAATACTCACTAAGCATATACTGTATGCCTGGCACTCTTCAGGGACTGGAATATAGTAGTCAATAAAAGAGACAAAGTCCCTGCCTTCGTGGAGTTTACATTCTAGTGTCCGTCAGGCAACACCAAATGAGCACATGTATGAGAAAATGCCTGTCATGTTGCCTGTCATATGGTAGGTAGGGTTCAATAATCGTTGGTTACTGAGTTTGAACTTGAAGTTTGAGTTAAGTACCTACTTTTGGTAAGATACTTTTTGCAGGGTGGAGGGACGGAGTGAGATTAACTCACAGATTTTTTTTAGATGTTACATAAAAATTATGAGTCTTTAGTTTTGGGGTAATTAAGGTTATATGCTGTATTAAATATAACAAGTTGTCTGTTCTTGACCACTTTCGCCACTGAAGATGAAGCATTGAAGCAGATGCTCTTCTGTACCATCAAAAGTGGTGTGCTCTTATCCTGCTTGGATGGTTTTTGTGGGCTCCTTGAATTCCTGAAAAGGCCCATTGTTGTCACTGACGATGCTTCACAGAAACGCTTTGTGTCATTATTTAGCGGACTGCCTTGGCAAAAGCTGTGCCAGTTCTTTTGTTAACTCTAACAACAGTCGAAATGATGTAAGGGAAGAGAAGGATAAATGAAACAAAGACTCATAAGTGCACGCATGCACACACATTTACACATCTTTTAGATCAGTTTCTGAGGATTATCTGAAGTAGCACGTAAAACCAGGAAATAGCAGAACTGCATTCATGTTCTCGTTGTTTCAACCAGATATCACCTGTTACCAGCAAACATATGAATGATTTTTTTCCTTGCTGGCTTCCCTTTGGCCTTACTGCTCCTTAGGTGGGAGGAGCAGTTTCACTTTGAGAGCAGAACTAAGCCTTTCTGTACAAATTCTTTGCAGGAAGGTTACATTTTCTTAGCTACTTTTCCTGAAAGCTGGAGTAGGATATTGGGTGTATTTACTGTTGTTGGAAGCCAAGATTTTATTTGACTTTCACATGAAGTAAATAAACCCTTGCTTCTATAGAAACCAGAAATGGTTGGAAGTGAGGGAGTTAGGACCTTACATTTTGCCTCCAGGTAAAATGCTTTGCGTTAAATTTGTGGTTAGAATTCTAGGTTGAACAGATGATGTCAATTCTGCAATATGGTATGGTGTGCATGTGTGCTTTTTTTAGAACAAGCACTATAGATATGGAATTAGTGACATGGATTTTTCTGGTCCCTTTTTAGATGTGAAGCCCTCTAATATGCTAGTAAACACAAGAGGACAAGTCAAGCTGTGTGATTTTGGAGTTAGCACTCAGGTAGGTCTCATTTTCCTGCCGATCTGCTTTCTTCTCTGTAACATCCACTTTCTATTTTCATTCTACTCTCTGGATTGAAAAATCACCTAGCTGCCAGACAAACAGAAGTCTGCATCTTCTCGTTGGCTGGGATTGTGTTATTCATTTTTAATCTCTGAGCGAGTTTCCTTCATCAGAATATGATTGTTCATTGTTTAATGACAGTAAAAACTGCTGATATTGTAATTACTACTTACGAATAGCAAACTTCATTGATATGCAGCTTTGATATGAAAGCGTTTTGGCCAGACAAAAGGGAGGGCAGAGTGGGAGCTGTGCCTGGGGAGCCCAACTGGCCCACAATAAAAATTAATATTGGGAGCAACAATGGTGGAGGGCCATTACAATGTGCAGCACAAATTTTAATTAATTTCCATTTTGGGCCTCCCCTGAGAACCCTGGTGATAGTGACCCATGAGCGTGCTGTGATGTTGATTTGAATTGCAGCCACCTTTACTCCCAGCCAAACACGAAGACCAAAGCGAAGGTCATCATTGTATTATGAGTTGTCAAAGTCTGTTATCCCTCCAGCGTATTTAGTGTTCGTTTCATTCTAGTAATGCATGAGGCTTCATTCACATCTTGACCATCTGACTAAAAAATGAGTGTGTTCAAATTCTACTTCAAATTGACTTTGTACAATCAGGCGGGTTTGGGGTACTAAAGCGATAAGCATCCTGCTTAAGTGAATTATTTAAGGTTATCTGCTATAAACTGTAATTCTATGCTTGTTTAAGTTGGAAATCACATTCAAAAGAAAAGAGATGTAATCATTTTTAATGCCTTTGTAGATAAATTTCCTTTTTATATAATTTTTAGTTGATTTATAGAAATGATGATTGTAAGTTAAATGAGGAATAATTGCCCATTTTATTTCCACATTATCTTTATATTGTTCTGACAGACTGTTTTGTCTCATAGCTGGTGAATTCTATAGCCAAGACGTATGTTGGAACAAATGCTTATATGGCGGTAAGTAAACTTATGCAAAAATAACATTTAAAACCAACATCTTTATGTACTTGGTAATGTATAATTCTTGAATTAATTCCACAGCTTTAGCCTAACAGATCATAAATTACAAAGTCAATCCAGTCATGATTGGATTTTTAAATCTTCCTAAAAGATGTTAGGGTTTATACAGGAGCTACCAACTTCTCTGACTTTATTCACTTAACTGGTTGGTTTGAGTATAAAATCATTTTGAAGTATAATCCTATAGAAAAATTGTATCTGATAGCACATTGGCTACTTTGCCTCATTGATTATTTAATTAACCCTAAAGTATACCAGAATGTCAGTCAATAAGATCAACTCTTTTTTCCAGGAATAAGCATGCTTTGACAGCAGCTCAAAATTAAATTATTAATTAAAAATTAAAGTATTACTTATGGATCTGATTGTAAATTATTACTTATGATCTGATCCTCTGAATGTAAAGATTTAGCGACAATTCTCTGTCGAACTTGTATATCTATATTCTGTTTACTTGGGTTCATACCTATTATAAGACAACTTACTTGGTCCCTCTGAAGTAAATTTACCAGGAATAAAAAGTAGAAGCATAGAACTGTTTCAAATACCAGTGTGGACTTGGCTTTGACCCGTTTCTTTTTCCTTCCTTTTAAGTAAGGGAAGTTATTTGTGTCCATAAAATGGCTTTTTTTTTTTGGCTGTGTTGGGCCTTCATTGCTGTGCACGGGCTTTCTCTAGTTGCGCCAAGTGGGGACTACTCTTCGTTGCGGTGCGCGGGCTGCTTCTTTTTATTTTCTTAACATTTTTTAAATTAAATTAAATTTATTATTTTTTTACTGCAAGGAAAATAGCACACATATTTTACAATAGCTATTAAATATCTCAATTTAGTCAGTCCTCCCTACCCCCTTTTTTTTTAACATCTTTACTGGAGTATAATTGCTTTACATTGTTGTGTTAGTTCCTGCTGTATAACAAAGTGAATCAGCTATACGTATACATATATCCCCATATACCCTCCCTCTTGTATCTCCCTCCCACCCTCCCTATCCCACCCCTCTAGGTGGTCACAAAGCACTGAGCTGGTCTCCCTGTGCTATGCGGCTGCTTCCCACTAGCTATCTGTTTTGAATTTGGCAGTGTATATATGTCAGTGCCACTCTCTCACTTCGTGCCAGCGTACCCTTCCCCCTCCCCGTGTCCTCAAGTCCATTCTCTATGTCTGCGTCTTTATTCCTGTCCTGCCCCTAGATTCTTCAGAACCATTTTTTTTTTTTTTTTTTTAGATTCCATATGGGTGCAGGGGCTTCTCACTGCAGTGGCTTCTCTTGTTGTGGAGCACAGGCTCTAGGCGCGTGGGCTTCAGTAGTTGCTGCACGCGAGCTCTAGAGCTCAGGCTCAGTAGTTGTGGCACATGGGCTTAGTTGCTCATTTGCAATCTTCCCAGACAAGGGATTGAACCCGTGTCCCCTGCATTGGCAGGTGGATTCTTAACCACTGCACCACCGGGGAGGTCCCCATAAAATTGCTTTTATTTATTGACGTCCACAGTCACTTCAAGAGTTGGGGGCTGGGAGGAGACAAGCAGGAAACTTATTTAGTATTTTTGGAGCAAAGTTTTACTTTAACATCTTAAGTTTAGTTTTTTGCTGAGGGTTCTAGGTTTATTCAGGTAGTCCATTTCACTTCTAGTAGTCTTTATATGAATTAAATGAAGTATGGGTAGAACCCTGGATCTTTTTCTCAATATTCTTTGTTCATATATTATCTTGGTAAAAAAATGTTAATATGGGTGAAACCCTGGATCTTATTCTCAGAACACTACAAAGGATTTTTTAATTGAGATACCGAACAGTTAATTTTTGCCTTGCATTGTTTTTAAAGAAAATTTGTTCTTTCTCATTTTTCTAGGTAATGTGACAAAAAATTAATCTCTGAAGTCATCATACCTATTTTTACAAAACTTAATCACCTTCTTGGCTCTACTAGGTTATCTGAGATTGGTGAGCCACCTTTATAATTAACAAAACTGTGCCAAATGACATGATTTCAGTCTTTGAAAAAATATGGAACACTGTGATTTAAAACAAACAAAAAATGAAACAACTTTTCCCCTCCCCATCATGTTCATAGTAGCTCTAAATTGCTCTGATAATTAAATTGCAATATGTTTGAATCTACAAATCTAGATTACAGTTGTCTTTCCCAGGTGTACATTAAAGAAATTACTTTTATTCCTTTTTGTTTATGGATGAATGTGCTGCATCCATCTCTTAATTGAAAATGTGGGGATTAAAAGTATGAAACGTTAGCTCAGATTGGCAGAGCTAAAATTGCTTTGCTTCTTCGGTGAGTATGTTCTAGTCATCAACCTTATAGTTCAAGCTGTAAAAAGCATAAGATACCTAGGAAGCAAAGAGTGTGATAGCCTGATAGTGAGCTTGGCTCAATTCAGCAGGCTCTCGTTGGCCATGACTTACCTAACTGGTGTGAGATCAGAAGTTGGGAGTTGGGGAAGGTGGAAATAACATTTATTATTCTGTTACAGGTTTTAATCCCTGCCTGAGGTATCGTGATATTGTATTATAGTACTACCACTGGGGGAACTGGGTGAAGGGTGCACAGAACCTCCCTGTATATATGCTTTTCAACTTCTTGTTAATTAATAAGTATTTCACAGTAAAAAATTAAATTAAAAAAAAAAGGAAAGATTTGTTGGAACATGGCCGTACCCATTTATTTATATATCGTCTATGACTGCTTTAGTGCTACAGCGGCAGAGTGGAGCAGTTGTGACAGCTGTACCGGAGACCATATGGCCGACAAAGTGAAAAATATTTACTATCTGGCCGTTTATGGAGAAAGCTTGCCGACTTCTGGTCTATGCCAGTGAAGGCTCTTTCTGAAACCGAGTACTTTGAATTAATCAACCTGTATTTACTGAGCGCCTTCCATGCAGTTAGCCAGGTACAGTGGCACCACTCTGTAATCCACGTAAGACTTGGGCAAAATAGGAAACATGGCATTATATGTGGCCACGTCACGTGTGACATAAGTTGTACCAAGCGTACCGTTAGAGAATGAGAAGGCATATGATATATGAATTTGATGATTCAAACAGTATGTGAAAAGGGCACTTATAAAAGAGAGAGATCACTGTGGGAGGATGAGCAAAGACTCAGAAATAGAGGGTGGTGTGAAATGGGTGGGGGCGGGGACATACAGGGTACAGCAAGGGTCCCCAGCGCCCGGGCCGCAGAGCAGTACCGGTCCACGGCCTGCCAGGAACCAGGCCACACGGCTGGAGGTGAGCGGTGGGCGAGTGAGCAAAGCTTCATCGGCCGCTCCCCATCGCTCCCCACTGCTCACGTTACCTCCTGAACCATCCCATCCCACCCCCGTCCATGGAAAAATTGTCTTCCACGAAGCTGGTCCCTGGTGCCAAAAAAGTTGGGGACCGCTGGGGTAGAAGACAGTAATAGATTGTGAGAATATGCAGTTTGAGGTCATCTGATGTAATGCCCTCATTTTATATCCATTTCTCTCACTTTATATCCATACCTGTTTCTGTACGGTGATAATAACAATGATAATAATAGCCAACACTTAATTAGAACTGTGTGCCAGTCACTCTTTTAAACCTTTACATATATTATCTCTTTAAATCCTCACAACAACCCTATGAGGTAGGTAATATTATCGTCCTTTTACAGATGAAGGCACCAAGGGATAGAGAAGTTAAGTGACTTACCCAGGCTCATACAGCTAATAAGTGGCAGAGTCAGGAGTGAAACCTACATAATCAGCCTCCAGAGACTGAACTTTTAACTACTGTGCCTCTCTATCCAAATCATTTATGTGTCTCTCCAAATCTAGATTAGGACTTTCACAGGGCAGGGTTTATTCTACTCATTCTCTATATCCAGTCCTTCACATGGTGCTAAATGAATTAATCAGTTCATGAAAGTTGCATTCCAAAAATGACTTGTTCACTAATTATAAGCAGAGCATTTAACTTTTTTGTATTAATAAGTCTCTTACTTGCGTGCTAAAGTATAGAAGACCCCCAGATGACTCAAATATAACCAACTAGACTGCTCAGATATTGAAAAGAAAATAAATCAAAGAAATAGCCGTGCATGTGTGAACAGTCTTACTTCTCCTACAATCTGAAATGTAAGGAAATGGTAATTAGGATAAAGATAGGGAGGGTTTTCTAAGATCCTTAGGTCATGAAAACAAACAAAAAAACAGTAACAATTTAGGGGCATGTTAGACAGTGGGTCTTGTAGGAGACTTGGAAAGTCATCTGGTCCCACTTCCTCATTGACCAATGAGGATACTGAGATCCAAAAACTGAAGGGGCGTGTTCAAGGACACATTACATCTTAGGGGCAGGTAATTAGGTTTAATGGACATTTTAATCCAAAGCAAGAAATATTTTTAACTATATTTTAAAAGGATTTCATCCAGAAGGATTACAACAGGGGTCCAAAGGCTTTGGTGGCTTATATTAAATTAAATCATTTCTTGGAAATTCTGATTACTAGAACTTTTACTCTATTTTAAAGACGGAAGGGGACTTACCTGGTGGCGCAGTGGTTAAGAATCCACCTGCCAATTCAGGGGACACAGGTTTGAGTCCTGGTCTGGGAAGATCCCACATGCTGTAGAGCAACTAAGCCCATGTGCCACAACTACTGAGCCTGCGTTCTAGAGCCCGCGAGCCACAACTACTGAGCCCGAGTGCCACAACTACTGAAGCCCAAATGCCTAGAGCCCATGCTCCGAAACAAGAGAAGCCACTGCAATGAGAAGCCCACACACCACAATGAAGAGTAGCCCCCGCTCGCTGCAACTAGAGAAAGCCATGCGCAGCAACGAAGACCCAACACAGCCAAAAATAAATAAGTAAATAAAATAAATTCATATAAAAAAAGAAGCTATTAAAAAAATTAATAATAAAGATAGAAGTCCCTGAAACTTTAACCCACTAT